CTCGGCTCAGCCTACAACATCCTTATTTCAAGCCATGTTGCATGGTTGCTTTTCACTCCTATAAGAAAAACGTAAGCCCCGCAGTTGGAGAACACAGCAGCCGCAGCGAATGCAAAACCCACCTCCCACTTCGAACACACGCCCCCCCCGACAGGGATTTCATAGGAATGGGCAGAACAGCCGTGATGTGGGTTTTCCATAAAATTTCCCTACCCACATTAAAGTCGTTTGCATCGGGGAATATTCCATTTGCAAGGGCAAATTTTCTGATGCTTTAGAGAGCGATCTAATTTAGTGCCTTTATTTGCTTTCAGGAAACAAAGGTAAAACAGATAATAACACACTGAAACCAAACCTGCCTAATAATGTATTTGCAACTGACGTATATCTGTGGTTACTAATAACTTATGAAAACAGAAACTTCTTTGTTGAAAATTAAGGCACTGGGAAAACTCCTGCCCCACATCACTGGAGAAGAGCGCAAAATATATATTGTCTGCACAGTGGTATCGACGACACAAAAGTTCTCCCTCATCACAAGCAAACCATAATGGAAGGCACTTTCTCAATAGAAATGAATGGATAAGAAGGAGGATCTAGGGCAATCAGAGAGGAGCCAGTCTACCCCATTTTCTTCCAGAATACACCATTTAATTTCCTCTCCCCACTGCTTTTCCAGGGGAAGAAGACATCCGGTTAGCATTTTGTGGCAACTGAATATATTCGGTCCTCATTGGAATGTACTGTATCCCCCCCCAAAAAAAATTGATTATTATTGTACTAATGTAATGGCGCTGTGAGTTAAACCACAGAGCCTAGGACTTGCTGATCGGAAGGTCGGCAGTTCAAATCCCCGCAACAGGATGAGCTTCCGTTGCTCGGTCCCTGCTCCTGCCAACCTAGCAGTTTGAAAGCACGTCAAAGTGCAAGTAGATAAATAGGTACAGCTCCGGTGGGAAGGTAAACAACGTTTCCGTGCGCTGCTCTGGTTCTCCAGAAGCGACTTAGTCATGCTGGCCACATGACCTGGAAGCTGTATGCCGGCTCCCTCGGCCTATACAGCGAGATGAGCGCCGCAACCCCAGAGTCAGCCACGACTGGACCTAACGGTCAGGGTTCCCTTTACCCCTTTACCTAATGGCTTGGTTGCCCAGACCATGACTTAGCACCTTCTGTGTACAAAGTATGTGGTCCTTCATAGAGTCACAGTCAGTCTTCATCTCTAGTTTGGAGAAATCATCAGGCAGTCCAGTTTAGCAAACCAAGAATGGCTTCTAAGACAATGGTTTGAATGACGGATGGGGAGATGCGGAGAAGCTTAGGAAAGGAAGTAAAGGGAAGAACAGAAACCCCACTTTCCCCACCCTCCATCTAATTGATGGACCTCTGAGACGAGGGAGGGGAACCACTGCCCTTTCAGATGTAGCTGAACTACAACTCCCATCATCCCTGGCTGTGGTGTGGTTGATGGGAATTGTAGTTCAACAACATCTGGAGGGCCAAAAGTCCCTTACCCTTGTTCCAAGAATGACTTCTATAATCTGATTTGGGGAAAGAACTACTATAAATAAGGTGGGGGGGTTGGTTATTTTCTCTCCCTTTCAGGCTACTGACATGGCACAGGTGATTCACTCAGGTATATGCGGACAAGCAGGTTATAAAACATTGTTGTGGGTGATAACACCTTTTATGGGCTAATTTGCAAAGCCATGGCAACACAAAGATCATTGGGAGGGGAAATCAAATCAGTAGGGCTATGGATTGGGATTACTGGTGAATTTCAGTTTCCCCACTAACATATTCCCCACTTGTGGCTGTGTAAAAGTTGCTATGCCAAATTACCATCCTGCTGTAGCCATTCCTACAAACAACCAACCAGGAAGTGTGCTATTTTTCAAGGCTTAGGGTAATGATGTTTTTACCGACGCTGCGTGAAAGTGCCACTTAGCAACTGTGTTACTGGAAGTTTTATGGGTTATATTCTTCCAGGACATTACGTTCTGTTCTCGTACCCATGAAACTTAGTTTCCTCATATTGTGCAACTAATCGATCTTGAACCTGAATATTCTTCTTGGGCAACTCTTCGTCTTGATCCTGAATATTCAGAGAGATTCCCATCAGGGCGCATTTCGCAAATCTTCCTGCTTCAAACAGTTATATAATAAATGCTGCAGAGAAGGAAGACATTCCACCTCTAGCACTTCCTACCAGAAGTTAATCGTTGCCTGGAAGTCCCTCCCTCCTCCAATCAGCAATCAGTTAGCCTCTTGCATCAGTCAAATTCATTCTACAACCCCAAAAACTGCAAGGCGCTGGGGTATATTAAGGGGGTGGCACACATTGGTTACTGTTACTGATCTTATTATTTTTTGCATCTTTATTTTAGATCTTATTCTGATTCATGTGGAAATGGTTCAGTTTGGCTGTGTACTTTTTGATGCTTTATCTATTGTTTATGACTGCTTTTGCTATGTTTGAAATTACGTGATTTGTTTCATATTGTAAGGTAAACAGGTAAAGGAACCCTGGACAGTTAAGTCCAGTCAAAGGCGACTATGGGGTTGCAGCGCTCATCTCGCTTTTCAGGCTGAGGGAGCCGGAGTTTGTCCACAAACAGCTTTCCGGGTCATGTGGCCAGCATGACTGAACCACTTCTGGCTCAAAGGAACACCGAGACAGAAACCAGAGCGCACGGAAATGCCGTTTACCTTCTCGCCACAGCGGTACCTATTTATTTACTTGCACTGGCGTGCTTTCTAACTGCTAGGTTGGCAGGAGATGACAGAGCAACAGGGGCTCACCTGGTCGTGAGGATTCGAACCGCCAACTTTCTGATCAGCAAGGCTCTTATTATGTTTTTAAGAAAACTGAGATCCATCCAATTTGTTGTTAGCTAATCCTAGTTAAAGCTATGGTTTCCCCAATAGTAATGTATAGAAGTAAGACCTGGACCATAAAGAAAGCTGATCGCCGAAGAATTGATGCTTTTGAATTATGGTGCTGGAGGAGACTTTTGAGAGTCCCATGGACTGCAAGAAGATCAAACCTATTCATTCTGAAGGAAATCAGCCCTGAGTGCTCACTGGAAGGACAGATCCTAAAGCTGAGGCTCCAATACTCTGGCCACCTCATGAGAAGAGAAGACTCCCTGGAAAAGACCCTGATGTTGGGAAAGATGGAGGGCACAAGGAGAAGGGGACGACAGAGGACGAGATGGTTGGACGGTGTTCTCGAAGCTACCAGCATGAGTTTGACTGAACTGCGAGAGGCAGTGGAAGACAGGAGTGCCTGGCGTGCTCTGGTCCATGGGGTCATGAAGAGTTGGACATGACTAAACAACTAAACAACAACAATCCTGGCATGTAAAGAGCTGCATAGAATATATATTTGTGCATTTTGGTCACACCTTTATCGTGCCCTTAGTGCAGCCCTATGATCAAGCAAATAGGAAAGTGGCTCTAAGGAAATAAGTTGTGTTTGGTCTTTGCCATTGGACAGACCAATTACACACACACACAACAACAACAACAACAACAACAACAACAACAACAACCCCTCTCTACTTGCCCGTTATGGCTTGCTTCACTTCGGTAATGCTGTATATAAAAGAGGATCTGGTCTTTTGCTTTCTTCCTAAAAGCTAAGCCAAATAATGGCATCATTGTTTATGTTCTTGGTCTTTAAAAGGGTGTTGGTTAACTTGGAAGTGGAAGAGAGAGAGAAATACAGTAGTTCAAAAGTACTGGAAAGGAGAAGTAGCACAAGGTAAGTCATTTCACAGGTGAGATAAATGTCTCACAGAAGGGAGTTTCCACTCCTGATCAAACAAAGGGTTTCCCACAGTCCGTTGCTGGAAACATCACAGCAATCCAATGGCTCATTTCTTACTCAGCGGGTTGCTGAATCAATCAAAAGAGGATGTTGGTACAGTTCACCTGCTGTTTCGCTCCAACAGCAGCTTAAGTCAACAGCAACTCGGCTTTCAAAGCCACGCAACTGTATGAATTACTGACAATCCTTCATTTTCATCAGACATGTTTATTGTTTTATAAGTAGCATGGGGTAAAAGGTTATTTGAGGCAGGAGAGAGAGAGAAAGAAAAAAAGAGTTGAACTCCAGGAACTGGCAGATATCTCACAGTGACTTGCATATCGTTCACAAGTCAGCTGAACATGTCTACTAAAATCCACCAAAAAATTGCTTCACCTCACAACCAGCGGCGTAGCGTGGGTTGTCCGCACCCGGGGCAAGGCAAGTAATTTGCGCCCCCTAACCCGGGGCAAGGCAAGTAATTTGCACCCCCTAACCCCTAACCTGCCGCCGCTGCCAGCTTCTTCTTGCTGCTGCCTGGGCTGGGGTATTTACGGTAAGGTAGCCACGGCGGCGGCGGCGGGTCCGTGTCAGGTGATCTGAGGCGAGTTGCCGCTGGCGCTGCCGCCCAAACGACACCGCTTGCCCGGAGGAGGAGGGCAGAGAGGCGAGGAAAATGCAACATGGCCCAGCAGCTGCAGCAGCGGCGGCGGCGGCGGGGGGGCTGTGAGGAGGGGCTGCCTGGCGCGCCCTCCGCGGCCCTGACGCGCGGGGACCGCGGCGAGCGCTGAGAGCCGCTGCCAGCTTGTCGGTTCCGCGAGACATGGGGCTCTGCTATAGCCTGCGCCCGAGGCTCTTCAGCGACTCCGGAGGCGGCGAGCGTGCCCCCCCAGATGTTGCGCCCGGTGCAGCTGGCCCCCCTGCACCCCCCCACGCTACGCCACTGCTCACAACCTTCAAACTCCAGCATTTCCAGGGACCCCAGCATTTCCTGTCTGAAACCCCAGAGAGTCACTGCAGGTCAGTGAAGGAAATTCTGAACTAGATGAACCATTAAGGCAGCTTCCTATGCTCTTCTGTACTGCCAAACTTCAGTTTTATCCAGTTTGTCAGAATACCTTTCAAATCAGTGTGCCTCTGTAGGGGTCGTACAACTTGTTCCACATGTAACGCGACGGCTGTCGCTTACCTGATTCACAGTGTCTTCAACAGCTTCCATATAGTGGTTCATTTCTCTGCTCATTGCAGCGTATTCCAACATCACCCTTTCCATTTCATCAACCTCTTTCATGTCGTCTGCAAAATAAACGATTTATTTTGTGTGTGTTTTAAAAAATATATAAAGGCATTTGTTCTTCCAGACCTAGTGAGCTCATGGCTCTAAAGGAGTCAGACAAACACCAGAGACAGAATGAGAGGAAGAAGAAAAAACACTTGAGAGGTGGAAGAAAAAGCTGAAAACAATAAATTGATTTCAACACTAAGGCGGCAGTTCTCCAAGTGCCGTGTTGCAGTCTAAAGCTCTAACCCAGGGGTCAGCAAACTTTTTCAGCTGGGGGCCGGTCCACTGTCCCTCAGACCTTGTGGGGGGCCAGACTATATTTTGGGGGGGGGGAATGAACAAATTCCTAGGCCCCACAAATAACCCAGAGATGCATTTTAAATAAAAGCACACATTCTACTCATGTAAAAACACGCTGATTCCCAGACCGTCCTCAGGCCAGATTGAGAAGGCGATTGGGCCGGATCCGGCCCCCCGGGCCTCAGTTTGCCTATCCATGCTCTAACCATACATTTAAAACAAAGGATGTACAGGCCTCATGAGTGGGAAAAGAAGAAGAACTCCTTATTCTTTGTTTCCAAAGCTAGCAGATATTTTGCACTTCAGGGTGGTAACACCAGAGTATTATCACTGTCAAATCAACATGGATACAGATAACCATTCACCAGCTGTTCACCTGACACACGGCATGTCAATCACTTGCTACGCTAGTTGAATAACTTTGCTGGGATAGTAGGGATATTTTTCCTCGCTTCATGGGAAGGCACAAAATAAATTTACCAAGTGGTTACAGTTGGATGAGAGGTTCTCCACAATTGGCCCTCTCTCTTTTAAAAAACCTCCTTCCCGTTTCATCCTCTCAACAACCCTGCCTGGTAGGCTGGGCTGAGAGGGACCAGCCCGGTAAACTTCATTGCCAACTGGGTTTGAACTCATGTCTCCTCAGATCTCTAACTGCCACAGCTCATTGGCTTCCCACAACGGTTTTATTCTAAATACCGTATTTTTTGCTGTATAAGACTCACTTTTTCCCTCCTAAAAAGTAAGGGGAAATGTGTGTGCCTCTTATGGAGCGAATGCAGGCTGTGCAGCTATTACAGAAGCCAGAACAGCAAGAGGGACTTCTGCTTTCACTGCGCAGCGATCCCTCTTGCTGTTCTGGCTTCTGAGATTGAGAATATTTTTTTTCTTGTTTTCCTCCTAGGTGCGTCTTTTGGTCTGGTGCGTCTTATAGGGCGAAAAATACGGCAGCTGCTTTTATTTATTTTCACAGCACAGAAGATAAATTTTGAGGAAACAATTGCTACAGCAGTCAACGACTGATAAAATGACAGACTTCTGTCATGCCATTTGTTTCGTTTGATTGCTCTAAGAGATCGCACCACGTTTTCCCACGAGTGCTGGGTGGATTCCTGCCACAGCCTGAACCATTTAGGTATTCCATAAACATTTGCCGTCTGTTATAAAAGGAATATGGATTTGTGTTTGCCATAATGGTTTTATTCCAAAATATTTGTTGTTTTCCTGCCCACCACAACCGAGAGTATTTTATTCATCCCCTTCAAACACTTCCCCACTTCAACTTTGTCAACGTACATTTTGTCATACAACATGACAGGTGTTTTCCAGGTTCTTCAAACGTTAAGTTATGTTTTTACAGCTTTTGCAATCAAAAGTCACTCTGCAGTTCTTGGGCAACCTCAACGAATGCATTACTCAGAGAGACACTTCCCAGATTTTTTTTATGCAAGAAAGATGGTGAGAGAGGGAGAAAGAGTGTGTGTCTGTGTGTAATTTCAGTTACCAACACCTAGTCATTAGGCAATCAGGGTATTTTGTGCAGAAGTTATATTTAGTGACTCATCACATTGCCTGAGAAATATTTAGTAGAAACACAAATGCCCTCTCTTGCCGAACTACGCTTTAGACTATAATTAGTCCCCATTCTTATAAATGCCAGCGTTCTAACATCAAAACCTGAGTCAGCATTTTCTAACCCACAGGAAATAATGGGAGGTGTGCTTGGAGCTGGAAGTGTCCCAACAAGAAGCTGTGCCTTGCCCGCAGAAATTAGAAACCCAAAAGATTTGTGTTTTTCTCCCCCACAAAGGCAGTATATTCTATCTTTTAAAGGTAAAGGTAAAGGGACCCCTGACCGTTAGGTCCAGTCGTGGCCGACTCTGGGGTTGCGACGCGCATCTCGCTTTACTGGCCGAGGGAGCCAGCATACAGCTTCTGGGTCATGTGGCCAGCATGACTAAGCCACTTCTGGCAAACCAGAGCAGCGCACGGAAACACCGTTTACCTTCCCGCCGGAGCGGTACCTATTGATCTACTTGCACTTCGACGTGCTTTTGAACTGCTAGGTTGGCAGGAGCTGGGACCGAGCAACGGGAGCTCACCCCGTCATGGGGATTCAAACCACCGATTCTATCTTTTAAGATCCATCTAATAATGATAATAATAATTTATTATTTATACCCTGCCCATCTGGCTGGGTTTCCCCAGCCCACCTTCCAATCTTGACTTTTTACCTCTCTCCCCAATTGCCCTTTCCTTCATCGCAACGTGAAATCTGCTGCATCGCTTTTCGCGGAAAGGATGTGCACATGGTGCAAAAGTCCAGAGTTAACGTCTCTGACAGTTGTGCAATCTCCTTCCTCAGCAAAACACACAAGTGTGACAAGCCCTCTTCTGGCCATGATGTTAGATCTCTGCCAGTTCCTTCCTAACAAGTCTTATGGGGCAACCCAGCCAGATGGGTGGGATATGATGATGATGATGATGATGATGATGATGATGGAGGCGGCTATGTGAACAGCCCATGCCGAATGCAGAAATACACTACCTCATGCGCTTGAGCAACCCACATTTAGTTTCTGCTGCAATCCCACTTGCATAATGTTGACCTTGGAAGGTTACACTCAGCTGCCAGATTTGACTACCGCAATGCATTCTAGGTGGGGTTGCAAGATGGAAACAGCAATGGGCCTAAAGTGTAGGTCCAGGAGGCTGGTTCATGCCAGACAATTAGAGCAGTGTTCCCCAACCTTGGGCCTCCAGCTTTTTTTGGACTACAACTCCCATCATCCCTCGCTAGCAAGAACAGTGGTCAAGGATGATGGGAATTGTAGTCCAAAAACAGCTGGAGGCCCAAGGTTGGGGAACACTGAATTAGAGGATATTACGGGGGAGGGTTGCAGCTCGGTGGCGGAGCAACAGCTCTGCGTGCAGAAGGCCTAGGGATCAAGCCTCGGCATTTCCACATTCACACAAAGTTCAGGCAACAACTGACTTAGGTGTGTTTGAATGATGCACGATTGCACAGGCATGCACAGCGCTGAACCCGGAAGTAGCTCCCAGGGGCGGAACAGGGCAGAACGGGCTTACGCATTTGGGGGTCCGAACCATAACCTCCACTCAAAACGAGGACTGCCTGCAGTAAACCATGGTGTGTTTCACAAATGTATGGTTTGTTTGAATGTCTGAATCCGGCCAACCAGACTAACTTGTAGCTTCATGCCACTCACAGAACCATGAGCGAAATGCAGAAAGAGATCCCCCTTCAAATAAATAATAATAATTAATAATAATAATAATAATGTTGATACTTATTCAAAGATACAGTGGTACCTCTGGTTGTGAACGGGATCCATTCCGGAGGCCCGTTCGCAACATGAAAAGAACAGAACCCGCAGCGGCGCGTCTGCACACGCGTGGGTTGCGATTTGCCGCTTCTGTGCATGCGCGTGATGTCATTTTGCGCTTCTGCGCATGCGGCAAAACCCAGAACACTTTCCAATACTTCCGGGTTGCCGCGGAATGTAACCTGAAAAAACGTTACATGAAGCGGATGTAACATGAGGTATGACCGTATACTGAAATACATACCCATTTATAATAGACTGAGCGAAGTCGGAAGGAAGGAGAAAGTGAAAGAAGGAGAAAGAAAGAGAAAGGGAAAAGAAAGAAACTAAAGAACTAAAGACAAGAGTAGAATAAAAGGACTTCTCTCTGCAGCTACATATGGTATTCATTCTTTAGAATCCAACTATTCCATCTTTTATAAGCTAGTATTTTTTCAATCTTCAAATCCAGAGTTCGTGTGTGTGTGTGTGTGTGAGAGAGAGAGAGAGAGAGAGAGAGAGAGAGATCCCTTTTCGACTCTCATTCTTATAATACTGGAATTTGAAGTTGCCCCCAAACTGGCCACCAGCAGTGTCAGGACAGGTAAAAGATAGCACCTTTTTCCCACCCAGCAGCCCTTGTGTGTCTCTCCTAACCCCACCCTGCCGCTACCCAATGCACTTTTAGCATTTAGCTAATTTCTCCTTACCCCTTCATGGATCACTGCCTTGCCGTGGCGAAGGGGCTTGAAGAACTCAGAGAAGCTATGAACTACGCCGAGTAGGGCACACAAGATGAACAGGTCATAGTGGAGAGTTTTGACCAAACGTGATCCACCTGGAGGAGGAACCGGCAAGCCACTCCAGTATCCTTGCCAAGAAAACTCCATGGACAAAGACAACAGGCATATAAAAGTTATGACGCTGGAAGATGAGCCCCTCAGGTCGGAAGGCGTCCAACATGCTACTGGGGAAGAGCGGAGGGCAAGTACAAGTAGATCCAGAGCTGATGAAGCGGCTGGGCCAAAGCCGAAAGGACGCTCAGTTGCGGATATGCCTGGAAGCGAAAGGAAAGTCCAATGCTGTAAAGAAAAATATTGCATAGGAACCTGGAATGTAAGAACCATGAACCTGGGTAAGTTGGAGGTGGTGAAAAATGAGATGGCAAGAATAAATATCGACATCCTGGCCATCAGTGAACTAAAATGGACGGGAATGGGCAAATTCAGCTCGGGTGACCATCACATCTACTACTGTGGGCAAGAAACCCGTAAAAGAAATGGAGTGGCCCTCATAGTCAACAAAAGAGTGGCGAAAGCTGTACTGGGATGCAATCTCAAAAATGATAGAATGATCTCGATACGAATCCAAGGCAGACCTTTTAACAT